TGCAAATACCATGAATATTCTTACCTTCAGTTGGTTTACACTTAAAGCAAATTACTGCTTGGCCATATCCTTCCTCAGAATCACTTATTGCTGTACCACAGAAAACATGCACGTTATTGTCACACTCACAACACTTATGCGCGCCCCCTACATTACCAGTATTGCAGATATAGCAAGGTTGAACTAGAAACAGAAAATAATTACAATTTTATGATATTACGTTCATAAAATATATTTATTTCACATATATTCTTTTCTTTAGATTATGTTATGAACTAAATTTTGCACTGTATTTGGTGATTGCAAAACACCAAATGACAATAGTTATTTCAAAATATAATGGAGCTGTCAACAATGTTATTGGCCGTTTTCACATTAGAGACGCATAATGTGTCTTCTCTGCTTATTCGTCTCAGATACGCATAACCAATGATAGTATGTGTAGACCGATAATGCGCCTGCCCGTGTGGAGCCGGCAATAATTTGGCAATGAATAATTTTGGAAAGTGAGACAGTTATAAAATAAACCAGAAATTCTAATGTAATCTGTTCGCTCGTGTTTCCATCAACTTATTCGTCTGATTAGTTGTCCGGCCTTTATACTAGACAAAAAATATTGAAGACGCATTATGCGTATCTAGTGTGAAAACGGCCAATGTGATGTCAACTGTGATGAATACAAATTAGCTTGGATTCAAGTGTTATTTTCTTGGTGTATCCCAAGAATCTTTTCATTTTCATAATATTTTGCAATTACACAGTAAACATACTTTTCAGATGCTTTTCAGGTTTTCAAAACATTTTTATGTTGAAAATTTTAGTACTGTTGCATGAAGATATAACTGAGGTTTTGAGCGAACATTATGCGACATACGTAGAAAAATATCTTCTCTTAATATTATTTGATAAATACTTACCGACTTCCATAAGTAATGCTAGTTAAAAAACTGAAGAAGCCATTGAGTGTATTCAGGAATCAGGATTGATGGTTGTCTAAAGATTGTTCTCGAAATTTGACACACTATCAGAATTCAGGTGACAAAAAATTGCCGACAAACAATTCTATATTTGGAGCCAATTTCCATTTATGGAGTGTTTACAACAAAATGTTCTACAAAGCCTTCAAGCAAGGCGTTTATTAAATTTTCACACACTATCAACTAAAAAGTAAAAAATGATGTTTTATTTTTTAAATTTTCAATATTTTCTTGACGCAAATTGCGTCCCAAATAAACCCCACGATTCACTTTGTCCTACACTTTGCCTTTGGAATTCATGCTTATATAGTTATAGTTAAGCACAATACACATAGACTGCAAAGCGCATGGTCTAAAGTAAATGGTCAATATTGTATATTTTACCTTTATTATAGAGCACAAGGTTTGGGCATGAATAAAATTGTGCATTTGTTTCAGGACAATACTACATTAAATGACACAAAAGTGTCACAGTTTTCAAGAAATCATATCAATGTTATGTTAAAACAGCCGTTTTCAGGCCTTTATTATATTCATTTTGAAATCAATGGTGTTGCTTGCAATCTGATTGGTTTAAAATAGTGTGATTAATTCCCAAATCCCACTATTTTTGAGCATTAATTGCATCATTTATAAGCCAATGAGATTGAAGCTCTGATTTAGTATTTCAGTGTAACTATCCAATCAAATTACAGGGAAAAATGGAACAAAATTTTATTATTTTGAATTTTTAAATGCTCCACGATGAAATTTACTCACATTTTACACTGTTTACGGTTCTTTCAGCCAATAATAAATCGTTTTGAATTTGTTTAATTTTTTGTATCATTTCAAAATAAATATAATAAAGTGGAAATTCGTGTTGTGCAATATTGGTGCGAAATCAAACATGTGATTACAAATCACATGTTTGAAATCAAACATGTGATTACAAATCACATGTTTGATTTCACACCAAATTGCACTCCTCTCAGTGCAATTACCATTATTAATCAATGTTGTGTTTATATGTTCAGGCAATAAATTGGTTGACCATTATTCAGTTGTTCAGATGAACTGGCGGACATGATTGAGATTAATATTGGAAGTTAAATGTATTTGTTTATTAATACTTATTAAAACATATGTTACAAACAAAAGAAGACAATATCAAACAGGTTATGGTCCCAGGACATGGAAGTGAATATTTGAAGTCATATTTGTCCTATGAGTCGAAGATATTTTTGTTTATCAAAGGAAGAAATCAAACTTGTTAATTGCGAAATTTAAACATGGCAGAAATTACAAAAACTGAAAAATTGAACGGTAAAAACTACCAATCGTGGAAATACAATGTCAAACTTGTGTTAATGGAGGTGGTCTTTGGGGATTCACACAAGATGGAAAAGAAATACCACCAGGACAAGATGCTACACCAGCAGTTAAAAATGCTTTTCAACTACTGCCGTACAGTTCACTCATAGCATTTTGAAACGCCTCCAAAAGGTAATTTGTAAGTCTTGGAAACATTTGCTAAGCTAGTGTCGCAATAGAGACCTTTTGTTTGACTGCATACACTCTCAGCTGTTCAAGCATTAGATTTTATAATACAGCGAATGTGAAACATCTATGGCAAAGTTGAAACATATACGGCAAAGTTGAATTTGCTGCTTTTCTAAATACATCAGAAAGTCTATTGCTTTCTTACATTACTGCTGAACCATCGCAGTTTTATGTAGAATGTTTGTAATTTAGCAAAATTGCCGCACACTTAAAGATAGTGGAGTTAAAACACCAACTTTGTTAGCAGTTTGGTGTTGGCCGTAAGCGTCAAACTAAAGGTCTCTAATCCAACGCAAGTCGTGCGGATTCTTAAATATCAGAGAGTAGTAAGAATTCAAACTCATTGTGCATGATAATTCACTGGGCAAAAATATGTTTTGCATCAAGTACAACACCAAGTGCACGTCCTTCACGCAAAAAGCCAAAATAACATTGCTCAGTTATGTGGATGCACTATATATTGCAAAGGCCTCTTTTATAAGGAAAACCAACTTCTGAAGGATTCCAGTCATTAGTCTTGTAATATTCATATAGCGAAGGGGCTCAGATGTTAACATTGCGGCTCTACAGGTGATGCCTTCAGTCTCAAAACATATATACGATAATATAAGGCTTTTGAAACATCAAGTTTACGTAACAAGGCTGCTACTTCAATTGGCGATATCATAATCTCACTTAACGAGAATTCGAACGAATTGTTTTGCGTTGGAATTGAACCACTGGTATGTGCATCAGGTTGAGTAAAGGAGGTGAAGAAAAAGTTATTGAACGCCTCAGCTTCTGCTTCATTCGTTGAGTATTTAACACTGTTATGGGTGACTATGTTCGGGATTGATCCTGATTTGGTTCTTGCCTTAATGTACGACCAGAAACGCTTCGAGTTGGTGTTCACTGAATGAGAGACAGCTTCAACGTAGTCTCTATGTTTCTTGTCAATCATAGCCTTGACTTTGCGTCGTAGATTGCGATACTTCTCCCACGCAGGATTCGCAGTTGATTGAGTTCCACCATTACTAGCCAAAGCCTTTCTTCAAGCAGCATCTTTTTTGTGAATTAGATGTAACACTTCACCATCAATCCAAGGTGGACTATTGATGTCTCTAATTTTGACTTTGGGAACATGTTGGTCGACGGCTGCGTTAAATAGGTCCAGCCAACACTGCCAATCGTCATCAATTATTATTATTATTTTTACTATTATTTTCATCCAAATACTTTTCTATAGATTGTTTCATCACGACAATGTTTTTGCCGCTTCCCTCACTATGGAATACTCGTGAGAGAAGATTGGATTGAATTGCAGTGAATTGTGCCATAATTGATCTCTCCGTTGGTGTTGGGTCCATCACAATCACTTGATTTTGGGTTGGATTTCGAGCTGGTGAATTTTGAGGTAAGTAGGGGTGTTATTGTTTGTGGTGATAAAAGTGTGTGGTTTGAAAGGAGAGGAGATGAGGAAGGAAGTGAAATTGGTGAGTTTAGAAAGGATAAATGCTTGAATTGTTGCTGATATTGAATTTCTTGTGTTGTTCTTGCGGACGTTGAGTTGACGCTAGGCAAATTTCTTGCGATTCTTTAATTTTACTTTTGGTATATACCATAAATTTGTTCCATAATTTCAAAGGGTCGATGTTCCCAATAGACCTTTCTTATAATGACATCAAACGCGGAAAGTCTGATGTTACGCGAAATTTGATTGGCTCCACAAAACTATCGAGCCAATCAAACTTCGCGTAACATCAGACTTTCCGCGTTTGACTTCATTATGAAAAAGGTCTATTGTTGGTTGTGCAGTAGAATGTGCCATGTTGCAAATGAAGAAAAATTTTGGATTTTTTTCTTATAAAATGATAAGTCGCACCCCTTTTCTTAAAAAAATTACGAAATATTCTGTGGCAGAATAATTGTGGAGCAGAAACATCATATGACATTTGCAGTTTTGATTACTCTTCTTCCAGTTATTACCTTGTGAAAACACCTAATATATATTATGGCAATTTAGATTCTGCTTTTTTTTTCTCGAAGTGGGATTCCCTTTCCATTTTTACGTGAGGGTGAAGAGCTTATTTCGTTTTGTGAAATTCCAGATCGTGATTTCCGAATTGAGTTTTAAACGTCTGTTGAAGAACTATTATAAGATTAAACATACTCGAGAAAGTGTGTAGTCACAATGAATTCGTAATATATTGTCTAGACTTTTATACAACAATTTGCATATATTTTAACACCTATGTAATCATGCGTTACTACCTATTAGTTATTCATATACATGTATTATTCGCACAACACTTCTCCCCTTCTTTTTTTTAGTCCGTAAACTACCTACAAAATTATTTTTTTTTAAATTTTCACTTTAAAGAGTTCTATATCAAATTCTTAATCTATATCCTATATCCTAACTATCAATGTTCATGTTAATCTCTCTATTATAATAATGCTATGTTTTCTATGATACCCTTCCAATCAAATGTGGGTTTTCTCTCAATAGTAGGTCCATTCTCCAAGTCTTTCTGGTTTTCTAACTTCTCTTCCGTATCTTGTCCTTTGGGTTTGGTTCGTCGTTTCATTATTTTCTTCATCTGTATCACTTTCCGAGTAATAATCTTCAATTCTTTTTGACTGCTTCTCGTCAATATTTTTCACGTTCTCTTTCGATTTTTCTTGATAACTCGGGGTCACGGCTTCGTTAATCACTTTTAGATGCGATTTGTTTCTCTTGAACGTTTTTCCATTTTGAAATCGCACGGTTACGGCGTAATCATTAATGCAAACTACCGTACCAACTTCGGGTTTTAGGCGATCGGTCCTACGATCTTTCATAAGCACTTTGTCTCCTAATTTGACATGGGATCTTTTCACATTTTTTCCTATCATGATACTTCTTCGCCTTCTCTTTATACTTGCGATGATGATTTCTGATATGCATATCTCTCATTCTTCTCTTACGAATTGGAAAGAAACTCAGATTCATTTTCCGACCAAACATTAACTGGTATGGACTCTTTGATGTAGAGGGATGTGGCGTTGCTCTGTAAGCTTCCAGCATGCCAGTGATCCTATCTTGATAATCGACATTTTCTCTCTCCGCTATACGTACCGCTTTGTTTAGGTTACGCATAAACCTCTCGCATTCTCCATTCGCTCGTGGGTGTCTGGGAGTGACTCTGTGATGACTGAATCCTTTTTTCTTCGCATACTCACGAAATTCGTGTCCTTGGAACGGTGGTCCATTGTCAGTCTTAACAGTATGTACTTGTCCGAAAGTAGCGAACATTGAGTCTAAAATTGGCTTGACATTTTTAAACGAAGTTGATTTGCAATATCCCACGATTGGATACCGACTATAGAGATCATACGCGACCAATATATATTTCCCATCCTTTAATGGACCTTTAAAATCGACTGATATTGTGTGCCAGACATTCGGTGGTAATGGCGTTGGACGTAACGGCTCATCGTATGTTCTATCAAAAGTACTCTGACAACTCAGGCAACTCTTAACAACGTCTTTCGCCATCTTTGTCATCCCTGGAAACCATACTCTCTCTCTCAATAGATCTACAGTACGTTTCTCCCGGAGTGTCCGATTCTATGTGCTTCGTCAACAAATGCTTTCTGCATCACAAATGGCGGCACCAACATTTTTTATAAAACACAAGTCCTCTCACTACCGATAATTCTGAGGAAACACCGACATATTTAGATATAACTGGATCATTCTTATATAACTTCCACAAATCGTTTTCTATGACGTTCCTCAAACACTGATAGTTCTTATCCTCGCTTGCTCTCGTCAGGATAATGTGATCACTTTCGGAATCAGGTTCGAATAGGAATGCATCAACTTCTTCCTCAAAAGACTGAACAACTCTAATGTCATGATCTGATTGCTTCTTAGTAACATGGCGAGAACCATAGTCTGCGATGTTAAGTTTCCCTTTCTCGTATCTCACGATATAATCCAGTCCTTGGATAGCTAAGATTTGTCTTTCGATTCTAATTGGGGCTCGTGACTTCGGATTGTTGAACAAATATTCTAGTGGTTTACAATCAGTGAATATTTCAAACCTCGGGGCTCCGACTAAGTACTGCTGGAGTGCATCACAACATGCCCATTTGATTGCCACTGCTTCCAATTCAGTCTGCCCATATCGTGTTTCTACATCCGTCAAACTTCTGTTTGCGACATGGCAAATTTTCCACGCTCCCGCTGAATCTTGCTGCGTTAATATCGCACATAGACCACCAGGGGCATTGCTGGCTCCTTCACTTTTCTTCCCTGCGTCGACATACACTCTTATTGGCTGATTCGGAACGAAGTATGCTAGAGATGTTTCTTCTGTTACGCTTTCTTTTAACTTTTCAAAAGCTTCCCTTTCCTTCTCACCCCACTTGAACTCAACTTGGGCTTTCGTCAGCTCCCTCAACGGTTGTGCTATCTGAGAAAAATTCGGAATGTATCGTGCCATATAGCCCACCATTTGTAAGAAACTTCTAACTCCCTCCTTTGTTTTGGGTTCTCCACAGTCTTTGAGAGCTCTCGTCTTCTCTACAGATGGTTTCAAACCGTCTCCTGTGAACCGTTGACCATAAAATTCTATCTCCGTCTTCCCGAACTCACACTTCGCTTTATTCATAGTCAAACCATATGACTGCAATCTGGTCAAAACCATGTTCAGGTTTCTGTTATGATCCGCCCAATCAAATCCTCCAATGAGGCAATCATCACGATTGTTCTTAACTCGAGGGATTCCTGCGAGAATTTCACTGATACGTCTATCAAACTCGTCTTGGCTTGTAATCCATCCCTGAGCCAAAGTGTTGTGTTTGAGATTTCCCCACGGTGTTGATACGACCAGGTACTTCTTACTTTCCTCGTCGATTGCGAACTGATGGTATCCATTATTCATGTCAATCTTTGAAAACACTTTACAGCCTGCGAATATCACTGACAGATCTTCTACTTTGACGCCGGGAACAATTCTTGTCCTCGAGGCACCTTTGTTCGCCAGTCGAAAATCAGCAGTTATTCTGACGTCAGCATTGGGATCACTTGACTTTGGCGTGATTACCAGAGGGCTTGCAAATGTAATTGGCTCACCTGGCTCCGTCCAACTCATAATACCTTCTTGCACGAAGTACTCGAGCTTCTCTTTCGTTCTGTCTCTCAAATGATGAGGAATCACTCTAGGTGGTTGTATAACCGACTCTATCTCTGGTTTCATGACTGTATGGATCTTTGAATTTCCCGATACCTTCAAATAGCTTCTTATGTGTGGACAGAATTTTCTCCATTGCTGCTATACCCTTGTTTTCCTCTTTAGGTTTGTTACATTCCACATCATTTGTTCCATCCATCCCTGAAGTTTTCAATACCCGTTTCTCTGCAAATGCACCATCAGCACTATATCGTATCATTCCTAGGTCGAGTAATGTTTTCTCCGACAACAGAGGATGAGTATGAATCCCGTTTTCTATCACATACAAATCTCTTGTTAGATTCTTCACCGTCTTGTTTGACAATGTGGCACCTTTTAGCACACAAATTATTCCTAGCTCGGTACCACCCAACGCACGAATTGCTTCTTTAGGAACGGTGATCAATTCCGCAACTTCGGGACACTCGTTATAAATTCTCTTGAAATCGTCCTTAGATATTAGGTCAACATCTGCACCCGTATCAGGGTCTATTTCAAGTTCTACTCCACAGATTGTAACAGGAAAAAAAATGTTGCTAGCATCCTTTCCCGATTTTATTTTTCTAACGTTTAACTTCTTTCGAGCGCCTTGGATATCAATGTCGGATTCTGAAGATGAATGTTCGGATTCTGACGATTCGGAGTCGTCTTTCTTGATACCTTTCATCATTTTATACTGGTTATCAGATCTCTTATACTTCTGGTCTATCTCTTCGTTCGGCAACACGAACTAAAGTGATTTAATTTTTTACATAAATTACAGACCTTGCCAATCGCTGGACACTTGATATGGGACACATCGTAACCACACCTCTGGCATTTTGATCTGCCCGCTGTAAACTCTGGTCTTGTGTTTCTTCGATACCGATCATTCTTCAACTTTGGGTTTTCATCGTTCTTAAATGAATATATTTTTGATTTAGGTGTTTTCCCTCCTGGTACTTTATCTTTATTTACAGTTCGTATGAAATCGTTCGACTCTTTATTAGCCCCGGACTTAATTTCATCAGTTTGAGCTTTAACATCTTGTTTCATCATGGCTTGCTTCATCAACTCTTTTAAATCCCAGTCTTTTGAAAGCGCCTCGTCTTGTAGCTTCTCATCGCCACATGTCAGAATGATATGATCTAATATCATTTCATTTTCATATCCGTGGAATTCGCATTCTTTTGCCAACCGTCTTAATTCAATCTCATATTGTGCAATAGTTTGGCCTTCTTCTAATCTCGCTTTATTAAAACGAAATCGTGCGTGAAGTCGTGATTTCTTTGGTATAAATATTTTCTCAATTTTGTCTATTAAATTCGTGTATTCATCGCCTTCTTTGCTTCCAGTCTCTACCGAATTTTTATCTATAGACATAATTTGATCACCCCCATGTACGAGTAAGCACATTCTCATATCTTTCGGGTCTTCAATACCAAAGTATTCCATTTGTACTTCAATCTTTCGTCGCCATGATTTCCATTTAGTCGACGTTTCTAAAATATCATCAGTCGGCACAAACTCTTCAACTCTTAACGCTTTTTTCGGCGGCATTGCCGGCCTTTTCGTTTACAAAATCAATTCTAGTTCGTTTTAATCCTCGTCGCCAATATTATAAGATTAAACATACTCGAGAAAGTGTGTAGTCACAATGAATTTGTAATATATTGTCTAGACTTTTATACAACAATTTGCATATATTTTAACACCTATGTAATCATGCGTTACTACCTATTAGTTATTCATATACATGTATTATTCGCACAACAAGAACATTGAATTAAAAAAGATATTGATTCTCGTTTTGAAGGTTTTAGAATGGGATTGCATGAATTTAACAAAGTTGTAAAATTGTTTGAGTATGAGAATGATCAATGTTTGAAGTTTAAAAAAAATATTATTGTATTCTCCCATTTGGCTTTACATATATATTTTCGTTATTTTCCCTTTACGGTGGAGTTAGTTTTTTTGTGATAAAATTCAAATTAATTCTTTTACATATTTGTACCAATTGTTTATTAAACATCAATGGAACAATCACTTTACCTATAAGGATGGATTTTATCTTCGAAATTATTATTTCTGCATTAATGAAAGATTTCATAGAGTATATTTAATGTGGAAAGAAAGATTTGGAAATTCGGGGTATTTAGCTTTGGAAACAAGTATTAGTTGCTTATTGGATGGGGAACTTTTTTATCGTAAGGTCTCACAAAGATTACCCTTGCAATTATGAAATTACGCAGACAATGTTGGATTTGTCATTTACATGTTGCCGCTAAGAAAACTTTAAAATGTAAAAATTGTAAAGATATAAATCAGAAAAAAATGAAAATGATTTTCTTTTTGTTTGCTTCAAAATAAAGCAGATTAATGGAAGACATTTTGAGTATGGTACTTGTGGGTGCAGAGGCAGGAACATGTCATCCTGAAAGGTTATGATACGCTCGAGTATTAAATGATAGGGTAAACAATGAATTTTTGTGAACATATTAATAAATATTCAGTAGTTCAACTTAAAGACATTAATGAAAGGAAAGAAGAAATTTTAAAGAGTGACACATATTGTAGATATTGATGGGTGAAGAATTAGTTAAAGGTATCTTTATGCTGAGATCAGCATCTTTTCTGTTCGTGATATGATTTGTCATACTTATTATGTTTGTCACCCCGGGGCCGGTTGCATAAAAACCTAGTTAACTTTAACTATGATTAGCGCTAATCACTGAAGTTAAATCCTTAACTATGATTAGTTAACTACACGACTTAACTGCATTGCACAAAACATAGTTAGTCGGATGATTAACTAATCATGTAGTTAACTTGCGTGGAGCTTGCGTGGGGTTGTTAAACAGAGAAATAGCATGAAGTATCTCATAATTATTGACCACTATTATTGATCTTGAACAAGACTGTGAACTCGTATTTACCAAAATGTACAGTATTTTGATTTTAAAAAATGTGATAAACAAGGAAAAAGTTCAAAATAATTCAACGAAAACGGCGCTCTTGATATAAAATTTTGAATTTATGATAAATAAAATTGAAAATTATGAAGAGTTTCAGGTTGTTTTTGTTTGCAGTCATAAAAAATTTAAAAAATGCGTTATGTTTTTTCCCTTTCATATTTTTTCATTATGAAAATAGATATATGGTCATTTGTGTAATAACATGAAAGATGGGGAGCATAGAGTTGAAGAAATGAGCAAGACTCCTTTGTATATAAAGATAATTGGTGGAAATTCTACGAGGACTATTTTCACGCAATCAGTTGTGATCAATGTTTACAAAGTCATTGCCATTGTGGTTGGAAAGACGAGTGATTGAGTTGGTT